AGGATTGCTCTCATAGGAGTATCAGCTGTTCAAACTTTTGGGGATCGTTTTGGACTCGGTGGTAGGTAATGCCTACTCTTGGCAATGTAGTAGGTGATAAGAGGCAACTCGCAACTACACGTAATATCCACGCAGGAGTCTCAATTAGTTGACAAGTCACAAAACTTTATTATCATTAAAAATGATAATAATAATAAAATAATAAAAAATCTTTATTATCATCTTTTTTTTAAATATAAATAATAATCATAATGATAAAAAAAGATAAAAAAATTTTATTATCATCTTTTTTAAATATAAATAAAAGATTATTTTCATAAATACTCTTAAAGTATATATTTTATTTTAAAATGTCTCTTAATTTTTCAAAACAATTCAAAACGCCTACAACCTATAAAAAAACATATCAAAACATTCTCTCTATCCACTTTCACTTACAATTTTAACAAGTTATTGACGCGGCATGCAATTAAAGATTTATAAAAGATATTTTAAAATATAAAAATCTTAATTATTAATAAAAAAACTAATTACTTAATATAAAATGCCCCAAAATTAAATAAAATGCAAAGACTAACCACTCAAAACGAAAAGTGGAAAAACAAACATAAAAACAAATCAAATTGATTAAAAACAAACAAACATATAATCAGAATATTCAGAGTCTGTTTAATTTATTAATTTAAAATTTTAATTTAAATTAAAATGTGATTTTATATAAAAATTTTTTATTATAATATTTAAATTAAATATAATTATTTTAAAAAAAAATTTACATAAAACTTAAATTTTAAATTCAAATCGATAAATAAAATAAATAAGAACTCATTCCTCTTCTCCGTTCACTCAAAAAAAGTGAACACCAAAAAATTATACCACGGAACGGATATCTCTCTCAACGGCTCTTCTCTTCTGTTTGGACTCCAAACTGAAAAAAAGAACCCGTCGAGCCCGCAGCGCTTCTATTGCAAGCCCATATCCGTCTGCCTTCATCGCGCCATAATGCAAGCGAAAGCAACATTTCTGCACGATTGGGAGGAGGCTTGGCTGGGTTCGAGAGGTGGGCGGAGAGATTGACTGGGTTCACGAAGTGGGCGGCGCGATCGAGAGGCGACTTGGCTGGGTTCACGAGGTCCGACGGGGTCGCGGGTAGGGATGGCCGGCGGGATCTCGAATGCGGATGACCGGCGTGGTATCATGTTTAGCTATGAAAACTGATTACGATTGGGATTATTTTGGGTCTGCAAGTGATGCCAAGAGCTAGAAGACGACCTATTTGGGAGTTTTCATGATTTTTTATTTATTTTGATTTTAATATATTAAGCTTTTTTTATTATTATTTCTTAATACTTAATCACTCTAATAAAGTTAATAAGAATTTAATTCATACAGTTAACGTCAAATGGTATGACATGTCATCAACTCCCTTAAATTTATAGACAGAAATAATCAGAGTGAGTGTTTTGATCTGTTTAATATAAATCGGGTGTATTTTGAATTGTTTTAAAAAATTAAAAGACATTTTGAAATAAAATACGTATTTTAGAGGATATTTATGAAAATAATTCTATAAATAACTAGCTACTATGTGTCTTTAGCGGGAAAAAAATGTTCCACCCATGCACTATTTTAGCGGGGTTAATTTCTTTTGTGAGGGTGAGACTAACTAATTAAATGAAGATTTAATATCTTTTTATCTATTAAAAAAATGGTTTTAGAGAGAGAGAGGTTTAAGGCCCGTTCACTTTTCTGATTCGAGTTTAAAATTCGAGTTTTTCTACAGTAAAAAGCTCTCATAAACAATCACATATAACTTTTTTACTACAGTAAAAAGCTCTCACATAAAATCACATCTCAACTCGAATTCTAAACTCGAATCAGCGAAGTGAACGAGGTTTTAGAGTCTCCAAACAATCCCTGACCATTTTATAAGATCCGCTGCATTTTGAGGGTACGTTTGGTTGTAGTGGGAGAACTGTAATATAATTGAGAACAGTAATTATAATATAATGGAAAAGAAAGTTCATTTATTTAGTTGTAATTTTACGAGTACTATGAAATAAAATATGAATATTTTCATATTGATAAAATTACTCTTATGTTATATATAACACTAATATTTTAATATCAATATAATTAATATAATATATAAAATAAAATAAAATAAAATATAATATAATAATTATC